GTTCTATTTTTAATTGATAATTTTCCTTTGAATTAGGAAAGATGGATTGGGGTGCTGTTCTGGAACTGTATGGGATAAAGTGAAACAAGAATGTATTGGTTTGTATCTATTCCAAAAGTAGGACTTATAAAGTAATGAGGTTTTATTGCTTTCTTAATAATCACCGCTACATATACATCAGATAACTGGGTTATTTTAATCAAACATTGCTGAAAGGGATATAGGGAAAAGAGTAGCAATTATTTTCCCATAGAACTCTATACAAACCTTTTGCTCTCTCAGTACTCTACTAATTCGACTTCAGACAAATCCTTGGCACCATTTGAAACTTTATTCTGAGCGCTTATAAAAAAGCCCGAAAAAAAATTAGGGTCCCATGGCGTTTATAGGTCAAAATTGCAGTTGTTTACAACTTATAGCGATCGGCAGTAAATGACACTATGCCAAAAACATCAGCCCCCACTCCTACAATCTCCCCTGGTATTTCTATATTTTCTGTAATATTCCTACATTCCATCATTTATTTCAAACATTAATATTTTTACTTTAAAATGAAAATAATTATGTACCTGAGTTCAGCCAATCGGGTAACACACACTATTCAGTACTCTATACTACTTTGTGTAACAAACAAAACCACGTGTACATCCGGGGATTTGGTACTCTCATTCCATAAAACTATAACTTCTTTTTTTCGCTTTTTTTCTTTCCCTTTTTCTCTTTTTTAACAAGTTACTTTTATATATATATTTATATAATTTTTCTTTGATCAAGATTTTAGAGGTGGTTACAAATTTATTCATTGAATATTTTTCTTTGTTAATTTGTAGAATGTAGCCCCGGTTATTTTGGACTGAATTGCACCAAAAAATGCCCATTTCCTCGGTATGGGAAAACCTGTCAGTTTCGGTGTTCCTGCTTGGAAGTGTTCTGTGATGTTGCTACTGGATGTCAGATCGACAAAGGTTTGTTATTTGAATTTCTATGATAAGTTTTGTTTTTTTTTTCTAAATTATATAATAGAGTAACACTATTTTGCAAATAATTAACTAAATTCGCTAAGGATGGTACCTTATCTTCATTTTGGATTCAAATTATACTTTTACTATTCATTCATCAGCGGTAATTCTAGAATAAAAAAAATAAAACAAATAGTCGAAAACATTAATGTAAATTTTAATTATATTCTAAAGTATTCGGTTATATTACATTGCCTATGGCTAAATATCTCTCTCTCTCTCTCTCTCTCTCTCTCTCTCTCTCTCTCTACTGATTAATAGAATTTTTAGAAATGAGCAATGCCCTTATTTTTTATTATACTTGACCCATAGTCTTTTGATTAAATGAAAAAAAAGTGAAGATAATGAACAGTGATTAATCTCATGAAATCAATAAACAATACAAATCTGTGAACAGGATATAAACAAGGACCTCTGAAAATTCCAGAGGTGGGATCAGGTGCCTAGGAGGAGTAAGCTTCCTCTGTTGACCGGTCACACTCGTCTTGAGTCCTATTAAATTATTATTCTAAAAAGGGATTTTTTAGATAATTAAAATATTAAATAAAAAACAAACATGTTATTAATTTGCAGCGCATTGTGTAGCGTGTATGAATGCATGAAATTCCTGCAATAAAAATACAATGTATTAATTAAAATAAAATAAAACAATAATGATGAGTAGGTCGTTACATGTACATGTAGGCATAGATGATATGTTCTTTCACGGCATTTGTTTCTTTTTTTTACGAATTCACAGAAAGCGAAACAGACAGACAAACTTCAAAGTTTGAAAGGTCATCATTACTCTCAGAAGAATCAGAAAAATAACAATTAACCCTGTGCGTGACGCTAGTGCTATAGGTGGTGGAAAGACATCTAAACAACTATCAATCGAAGACATCAAACAAATACTGAAAGAAAATGAGACACATACATGGAAACTAGGACTCATTATTGTCTCCAGTTTAAGCATCTGCATAATTTTAACCCTAATTTTCACCGTCATTTTCTTCGTTCACAAAAGCTGCAAAAAACAGACAAGACCAAAACACCCAACTTCATCTGTTGGCTTGGAGGAATATACAGACTTTGACATGATTGAGTTGAATGTGAAAACGGACAAAATCATTTTCGAAGGATTAGCTAATGCAAAAATAGGATACAACACAGCTCAGAATGTATATGCAGTACAACTGCACGGAATTTGTCAAAATTCTGAAATCGATCATAGTAATCAGAATGCTCAAGGATATGAAATGAAAGTGGGAAATTCTCCGCCAGTATGTAAAATTAATTCATTCTCTCATGGACATGGGTATATTGAACCAAAAGTTCATGATGAAGACAACCAACTCCTCAGAAAAGACACTGACTCTGAATGCAGTGTTAAAGATTCACAGTTGTTTGCCTCTGAGGAAAGGAACCAATACCTCACTGCAACGAAATAATGACTTAAAATGTTCATTATTATTTTCTTTATGAAATTATCTATCTAACATAATCAAGATCAGAAGATATTATCAATATCATTGGATTGTGCATATCATTCAGCAAGAAAATATATATAATTTTAATTTGTCAGTAATTGCATTTTTAGCTTACCTCAACGAAGTTTTTTTTTTTTTTTGGGGGGGGGGGGGGGGGCTTAGGTAATACCCTCGGCGTCGGCGTGCCGGGTTCAAGTTTTTGGAGCAGATTTCTTTTCAAGTATTTCAATATATATCGTACATTAATCAGAGATGCATGGATGATGATTCTAGTCTGTTTCATTGCACCAGTCAAGGTTTCGGATGCTGCAATTTCAGCTACAGAATGATCAGGTTAATGTTTTTGGTGAAGGTTAAAGTTTTTGGAGTAGGTCTCATTTCCAAGTAACTATAAGCCCTATTTTGACAAAACGTGCATGAATCATACATCTAGGGATGTACACTACCAGGCCTTCTACGGATGCTGGATCTGACTTACATTTTTCGGATGAGTGACCAGATTAAAGTTATTGATGTAGGTCTCATTTCCAAGTAACTATTAGCCCCATATTGACCAAACTTGCAAGAATGATACATCTAATGATACATCTAACTATCGACCCGCGGAACCTCTCTTATAGCAGAGCAGGAACTTGAAGAACTAGGCGAGTTAAAATATTTTCTTTCAATGGCGATGGAATTCTCGCGGCGCCACACAACACTACACTGTCATTGAAAATGGAAGTGAGATACAGTTATTGGCACATCTGTTTTATTAGAGCATCGTAAGTGATACAAATAGTACAAGTATTTTCTAAAGCAATTTACAATGAACTTCTTTACTAACATAGCTGCCCTTACTTAAGAAGTATTAATATAGAAAGCACGGAGAAATTTACAATTGAAGGATACCCACTACCACCCCCAAATCGGGGTTAATCTTTTGAGATATGGAAACTGTCTCCTGGCAATACAAGAACATTGCAGACCCGTAGCAATGGTTCCAAAAAGAGGGAGGTGGTGGAAAATTCCCAAAAAATCTGACAAGCAAAAAAAGAAAAAAAAACCTACACTGACCAAAAAGTGGGGGGCCAACTTCCCAAAATAATCTGACAAGCCCCCCCCCCCCTCGAAAAAGAAAACGGAATTTGCAAGTGCTCGACCTTACAGCAACAAAAATGTGTGTGTGTGTGGGAGGGGGGGGGGGTTAATTTACCATAGCAAAATACTATACTCAGAAAAGTACTCTCCTACCCACCTGTCGGAAGACAGTTAAAAATATGACAAATTAACACACGACGCACAATTCGTCAGTCATCAATTGGTTCAGTTCAGTTGGAAAAGGTTAAGAGAACTATATATATCATAAATTTACATAATTAGAACGTACACATCAATTGCATGAATAAACAGGAGTATGTTACACACTAATTTGCAAAATTCATGCTTACTATAAAATGCAAATCTATTATCAGACATGTATATACTAGTAACTATAATCTTAAGGTAGAAATAAGCATTTGCAGCTAGGTTAAGGACGCTCTTTGGAAATACACAGTTGTACGCCTTACAATGTTTTGTAAAAATCTTTACAAAACAAAATAAATTCTAGCAGTATACATGTAATTTTTGATAGATAGAAGTTCTGCTGTCTACATTAATTATTATATAAATCGTGTCTTCTTAGTTCGGCCAGATACGTCAATTATCAATTGCTACAGAGGTCGTGAAAGTAGGAGGAAAACACGTCATCTTAGTAAAGTGAGATCCAGTTTGCTTTCAGTTTTTGTTCTGTTAATGTTATCAAGGCAAGATAAATGCAACATCAATTCATATTAACATGTACATTTTTTATGGAAAATAAAAAAAAGTATGAATTTTAGGGAAAAAATAAGTATTTATTCACCCAGACTCATTTGCATTTTAATGTGTAGCAGTTAGACTGGTTAAATCGCAGGTGGCCAGATAGCTCAGCTGGTAGAGCATTTGATCATAGATTCATGGGCCTGGGTTCGAATCCCGATATGGTCCTACGTATTGTCCTCCTCTCCTACAATTATTTTTCCTAACCTCTTCACTGGCTGATGTTAATATGGGATTTTATTAAGAAATTCGTTTACAATATGAAAATATATTTATCTTACCTAGCTTATGGAGTTTTGAAATGCTTCCCACCTAAAACATTTCGTAAAAACAATTCTTAAAAGAAATATTAATTTAGCACCGGGTGAGTCCTTTTTGAATTTTCCAGTCTGGAAATTTATACTTGAAATACGCAGCACCCATGGCAAAGGTTGAACCTAAATGCACTGGAATCGCCACAGTTATTGGTACATTAAGGTCCTGGAACCATATTTTCTCCGCCTCAAATAAAAATGTTTTCATTTGTGAGTAACTCCCAGTCATTATTACGCAGCGAATTTTATTTTTCCTAAATGTCTCTGCGTGTTTTTGTATGATTTTATGCGTTTTGCTCCTGACTTCAGAAAAACACTCTTTTAATAAGGCCCAGGACATATTAAATCCTGTTGCATCATTTTTTTAGTTCAAGGCCTCGTATTCTTTTAGCACTTTTTTCGATGTCTTTTAAACTCAAATCATGTAGTTCCTTGAGTTTTACGGATAGACTGAACTCAAATGTTTTATTTTCATCCATGATTTCGCACATTTTTTTCTTCTGCTCTTCGAACTGACACATTAACGACACGTACTCACTATGATGTTGTTCTTTCCATACCTTTACAGTTTGAGCTGAAAATACTTCCGCAACTTTATCCATAAATCGATTTTCAGGTGTGGTATCCCATTTTTCTTGGACTGTTTCCCCCAAAATCTCATCTGGTTTACTGAAATCCTCGACCTTTAGGAACATCAGGTTGCAGTACTCTAAAACAACAATTTCTGTATTTGAATTTTGATTCTTGTCATATGTTGAAAAAAATAAAATTTGATTTAAAATGAATAAATATCCAATTTCATGCCCCGTTGTTGGTAGTCGTAAAATATAAGCAGGACGTTGATTAGGAAATAGAAAAATTGCCAAGACTGGGAGCTACTTTCATGAAAAAATGTATGTTTTTCTTTGGTTTATACCATTTCTTGTGTGAACGTATTAATTTAATGTTTTGTCTAGCAAATGTTTGAATATAAAAAGAGAACGACTTTTGGACTTTTTCGAGAAGCGCTGACTTTCATAGTCGACGGCTTACTTTGACTTTTAAACCTGCGTATGCACGGAGAAGCCGAGCCAAAGATACATGTAATAGGTAGGAAAACCTAATTTGCTGTTATAGGTGTGGTGTTGGGGACACTAACATTACCGGCATACAATCAACACAAGGGATGATGGGAGGTATAGAAGTGCATAACTTTGAATAATCAGTACCTTATTCGTAAGGGGTAATATCTCCTTCCAATATCATTTAGTGAAGAAATCAAATAAGACAGAAAAAACATTCCGGGAAAAAAAAACCTGACAGAAGCTGGTCAAAGTGGGAAGGAGGGGCCTGAGGATAGGATAGTTGCTGTACACTTCCTAAACAACTTAATACGCGCTTTAAAAAAGGCCCATTATTATCTTTTAATTAACAGTTAAGCTAAAATCTTTGTCGCAACAGAAATAACGTATATTGTCCTTATGTAACTGCAAAAGCCAAAGCTTCTCTCAAACATCCATTAGAATAAACGATTCATTTAAACAAGATGAAATTACACCTCTTAGTCGACGAAATGGTGATTGAATGACCACGACAGAAGCCTTCAGCTGCCTTACAGCTATCTTTTAGTTGTATAATTTCATTTATAAACTGTTCATCATTTTACTCAGTATATGTTTTTTTTAAAATTTTTTCGATGATAATGGTATTAATATAACTGAATAACACTGAAAGGCAATTTAAAGACGACGGAAAATCATGGAAATAAGACTGAAAGGTCACTGAAATATGTCATTCATCGACTGAATTGCCTCTAAAAGTAACTGAAAGCCGATTTTTAGTCTTAAGGTCTATTTTTTTTCCTGTGATGGAACCCAAATTTTGTTTAGAAGGTATGACTGCAAAATATTATAGTATCTGAGATTATTTTGACTCTTAGAATTATTATTGTTGTAATAATAGATACACTTACTTGATCCAACATGTAGATTGGCGTATGTTGTATGTTGTTTGAATGTCAAGTTGTCAACATTGAAGTTTAAACACAATACTGAAGCTTTAACCTCATGAATGTATGGAGAAATGGCTAATTCTCTCAGCTGTATATGTAGATTTTCCTTTTTGTCATGACCACTCTATTAATTATAGGAAAATTAAGCATATTAACCACATTGCTTATGTGAAAGGCGAGGAAAATAGTGACCAATCTTATAAATTCTGTGAAAAAAAAATCAAGAACAGGGCAAAGCCACGAACCCTGAACACACCAAAGTTGGAATCAAATGTCTAAACTGTTTATGGTGATTTAAGTAATTACAGTTTCTATAAAAACTTTATGCTTATTCTTATAACATAAGTGAGTAGCATGAAATGATTTCAAATAACACGGTTGTATATCCTTCAGGATCTTAAAGTTAGCAGTTAAGTACATGTGCCATGTAACTGAAAAGCTCACGAAATACAAAAAAATAGTCATGTAAGGTATATTTATCCGATCATTCGTGCCTTTATTTTCTTTTAAAGTCCCTCATTATATCAGCTTCTGATATTCGTGAAGTATAAAATTGCAAATACTTTGCAAGTACATGTGTATTAATTAGGCATTGTATACAAAAAATCACCTTATATATTTTAGTGGAAGAAAAAAAAAATACACGTTTCTTTGTAATTATGTGTTCAATGGCTCTTTTGGAATTTCGACTCCTATAAAATGCCTTGTGAAAATAGCATGTTAGATGCTTCAAATTTACATGTGTGTTTCTTGTGGCAAGTTCTTTCTTTAGGCCTAACAATTTTGACATCATGACCTTGTCTATAAGGTTTGACCTACTTTTGAAAAAGACACTCTTTAACTGTTTGTATTATGGCATATGCAATCCTTGTGACAAGGCCTTTTTTCGTTACCATTATTTTTCCCCTTAGATAGATCTTAATTGCTTGCAATGTGTTTATTTATTTGCAAATAACACCAATAACTTTGTTATAGTAGCAACTAATAGGCATCGGATGCCGGGGTGGTTTGTTCTGAGATATTAAAACAAGGGGGTCTGGATGTCACTGTCAAGTCCTGAAACAAAACGCTGTGCATGTGAAAATCAGTCTTTAACACCATGTAAATTTAAATGCCATCTACTAAATAATATTTGTAACTTGTAAACGCTTATAATTAAAAGTTCCGACTTTCAAAAATACCGATGAGTAAAATATTAATTAGAAATTAAAGGGTTTTTTCACATTTTAGCAATTGTTTTGAATTATTAACGCACTCTTAACATTGTAAATGGCATGAGGATTCCCGCTGAAGAATAGGGAGAAAGATTAAAAATAAGAGTTAGCTAAGTTTTTTGGGGGTGTGACCATTATCCCCGATTTTTACTAAATCCACAGAAAATGATCCACGCGAATAAAAAAAATTGATTTAAGAAGAATTTTTTTTTTGTATGTGATTGCTTGTTTTCTTTTTTTCTTTTGGTTTTGTTGAAATTTGTTTTATGTTCACCACAACTGGAACGATTTAAAAAAGAGACAAACAAAACGCCAACCATTCAAATGTCATTAAAAAAATCATTGCTTTGGTTGGTTAAGATTTGACATTGATAAGTATATACATGTACACTAAAAATATGCTGTATACTAATTATTTTTTCATCAATACATGAACCATTTTGCATAATTTTAAAAGGAAAGTCTTTATACATGGCACCTGATCCCACCTCTTGAATGTTTTAGAGTTCCGTGTTTGCTCTGCTCCAAAATTTGTATTGTTTAATGGACTTCTGGGCTAGAATTCTGCTCGTTATCTCCATACATTTCATCGAATGTTCATGTAAGTATTAGAAATAGATGTTTTACCAAAGTCTCCTCGAATACTTTTCTTAGATTCTCGATTTTGTCATGCCAATGATAAGGAACTGTGATAACATGAAGTATCTCATCTTCCTCTTTTTTATCTTTCGATGTTGAAATTTCTTTGTAAATCCTCCGACGCAAATAACGGATCATTTCCTGATAAATTTTTGTTGTTTCCATTTTTTTCTTTCCAGTCTCTGTCTGTAATGATATATAATAACAATTAAGCTTCTCAAACTATATTAAAAGAAACAGAACCCTGTAATTTTGACTATAGTCACAATATTTAATGCATCCTTCGAAAGAAAGCTGATAGATTTACTTGAACCTACCACTTTTTTATCAATTTCCAGTTCATCTAAAAACACACTTTTGTCGCTTCCTTCACAATTTTCAATATACTTTTCGCGAGCGTTGTCTCCAAATTCCTCTACTTTCCCCTTTTCATTCATGAGAACACCGATTCTTTCGACATTTCCAACGGGTATAACATCTTCCGGAGAATTAGGGTTTAAGTAGGCCAGTCCACAATATTTGTCACCAATGTAAATCGATGATACCCATTTAGCTAATATAAGATAAAAAATAGAATCAGCGCTAGTGTGCTTCAGGAATGTGTTTTATATTCCTATGATGCAGAATTTATTTTAAAAACTTCTACATGAGAAAATTAAACAAAACTCTTGCTACGGCTGTCAACTCGACATTAAGATAATTCGACGATGTATTATCAATTAAAAATAGTTACTTTCATTCATATGTCGATTCGATATATCTCAGTGAACTTGAAATGAAAGACACCACAGCATCTGTCACATCTGTTTCCTATTTGGATGTTTTACTGACTAGAGACGATTAGGGCCAACTAACAGCTAAATTGTATGACAAACGAGATGACTCCAACTTTTCCATCGTCAACTTTCGTATATATGTTATGCTATCGCCTACATATGGTGTTTACAAGTCCCGACTTATTCAATATTCAAGATCATGCACAGATTACGATCAATTTTTCAACCGAGGCAGGCTACTGACAGGTAAGTTGATCTTACAGGAATTTCAACGACCTCCTTTTAAGTCGGCATTTGGTAAATTCTATGGTCGTTATTATGACCTTCTTAGCAAATATAACCTATCATTTCTTGGTTTTATTTTTTAGCTGACATGTTTCATACTAATTGTAAGGCCTTTGTTTTTATACTGAATTTTATTACTGAATGCTCTGTCTACCAGATCAACACATAGGGCTTACATCGGTTGAGACTGGTTAACAGGGGATGCTTGCTCCTCTTAGGCATAAGATTCCACCTCTGGAATTTCCAGCGGTCCATGTTTTATGCCCTTTTTAAAGATTTGTATTGTTTATAGATTTTTGAGATCGATCAGTGTTCGTTGCCTTCACCTTCTTAAGAGAAACATCTGTTATTTACACACCTTTAGCATTAAAAGAAAAAAATAAAAATCCTTAAAAAATTTCAATGTTAAAACATAAAAAATTTAAATTGCAAAACTTTTCTTGAACGATTTCTGGATATTGATGTATTTCGTGTACCTGTTATTGATTAACGGTGTTGTGAGATCATATATTGGAAATCTATTGTATATACAGAAAAAGTCCCTGATAACACCTTTGGAGTTTTAGGGTGCCCGTGTTCTATGCATGTTCACAGATCTGTAATGTTGGTAGATTTTTTTAAATTCTAAATTTTGAAAATTTCAAAAATAAAAATATCAAATTATAATAAATCATTTAAAAAATGTATAGGCCTCCTACATGTATAACTATAAAAAAAAATACAGATTGAAGGATATCTCAAAATTTCTATTTTGATAAGTTTAAATGGAAAGTTTGTACAAAATTTATCCATGTACATGTATAATGTTTACACCCAAAAATATCTCGAAATAACTATTACATTTAAGCATGCATTAGAGTCAAGTCTACATACAATTAAAATTAATGAATGATGAATTGGAAAAAAAATCAATTATGACTTGCAAATAAATCCGGACTTATTCTCAAAAATAAATGGTACGGACGCTACATTTCACATTCTTAACATTTTTACTTTACATACTTGATGAAAAGAAGACATTAATTTGGTAATCTCAAAAACACTCACTGCTCAATGATTTTGTGTCTAGAAAAGGTCTGAATTTGAAGCCCTTCATCGGTATATGGTGTCATCTTACATCAACAGGGGATGCTTCCCACCTCTGGAGTTTCCAGCGGTCCGTGTTTTAGGCCCTCTTTAAATATTTATAATGTTTATAGATTTTTTCGAGATCGATCACTGTTCGTTATCTTCACCTTCTACATGAAAGAAGGAAATTCTCACAAGGGACGCAAAACAAGAATTAAGCAATAAGTCTGCTCTCGAAATAGGATCTTTCTAGTTTGATACAAATAGATTGATAATAAAAAATAGATTTCATAAAAAGGGAGAAAATATTCAATGTGTGCTTATTCAACCCAGAAACTTACGACATACATGTAGTTAGTTGCGGAGGCAAAGTGGCATTCAGCTCCTTATTGCATTACAAAATGAAACTGTGTCAATCAGTCAATTGAATGTTCACTTAAAGGTCTGGACAGGTACATGTGCCTAAATGGCAGAGCTTTATCATTCAGACATTTGCAACTGAAAATTTCTACATTTGCACCTTGAAGAAGCAATCTGTCTAAACGTTAAGATATATTATTTCAAAACGCCCATACTTCTCGTTGGACGTTGAGAAGGTTTTGAGGATGATGGGCCTTCTTTACCCTCTTCATTTGTATGTTCATCTTTGACAAGTGGGGTTTTTGGTCCGACCTCCTCGTCATTCGCGTCGTTATCTTGTGGGAAAAGATCATATTGTTTTAAAATTAATTAAATTTGTACAGATCTTTATATTTTTACAATAATTATTTTCTATACTTATTGGAAATCGAATGCGATTTTATTACTGGAATTCAAAGATATGAAAGAAAAAAATATTATATAATTTTTTACGTCGTAAATTAATTGAGAATGAATCGTATTTAATTACTGAGTTCAGTCAAAAACACTGTATATACCTTTTTCATTGTCCATATAAAATCTTCATGTTTATTCATACATCATACTAAGCCATCTAATTTATCTAAGTATCTATAAGTATATACCGTATACCTTTCTTTGAAATTTCACTAAATTTTACTCCTTGTGTGTCGTCATCTGGTGATTCTGGTAAAAAATATAATTATATACGTATACATGTATTTGAGAAAATGTAAGCTTAGAATATTCTTCCTTTATGATTTGTATTATGCAAATTATGAAAAACAAAATGAGTTATAACAAATATTGATGATAATATAAATAAATGAATAAGTCTGAGTGATCATAAGGAAACCATTAAAACATATTTCCTTCAGGGAATAACAATTTGTAATGAAAGATAACAATCTTTGAGGCACTAGTGTTTTCCCTACCTATATAAATGAATTCTGTGTCTTTTAGTTGTAAATATATTCCATAGAAAAGCAACATAAAATGGGCTGAACATCAGACATGAATGAGGTAACATGTATTTTAAAACCTATTGTTAAAGTGATATATTCTCCAAAAACTCCGAAGCCACATGTAAAAGAATCCAAAACATGGTATTTCTAGTTCATGTAAGATTTATTTTCTGTGCATGTTATTGAAGGACACGCCATTAAAATATCTACTTTAACTTTTCTCGGGAAAAAAAGGGGGGGGGGGGCATAATATAGTATTATGCCTAATTTGGATGTAATGTTTAATGTTTTACATTTATAGAATCTTGTAAATTTACAGGATTAATTTCTGCTTTGTCTTTGTCTTCTGTCTGATTATATGAGTACATAAAGCAAATTTATATTTCCTACAAACTTCAACATTCTAATAATGCTGTATTGGTCATTGTATAAATTTGATTTACCTGTTGCTTTTTCCGTTCAGGGTACCCTATATCTGAACAGCAGTATAGCTCCAATTATAGATATAATGTACAGAACCATTAGTATTATTGAAATTATAAGCCATACATTTAATTCACTTCCGCAGTTGTTTTGGTCTCTGTAAAATAATAAAAATATACAAGGTTTTTTTTAATAATTTGAGAAAGTCGAAAAATGTGAAGAGAAATGAATCGAAATTAGAGTACCTTGTTGTGTTGACCTCTCTTTTGATGTAATCGTAACATTTTTTATCTGAAATATTGAGCCAATAGCGTAAGATTTTGATATTATTAACATAGATAATAAGACGAAATGATCATCCTGTTAAAACCATCATTCTGCCACTCTTTTATGACTACAGAAATTTTAAAACACATTCTACGAGTTATAAAAATGATTTAGTGTATATATAGAGAGAAAATGCTAATATTTTGTTCCTATTGTCATCATTTTTAACTTATGCATTTCTTTTGTTTATACAACCTTTTTCTATTATATATACAATCATTTGTACTTATACAATCCATATTTTTTTGTTTATATAACCCTTTCCTGTTATATACATATACAATAAATATGTACGATTTGCATCAATGTCTTTTAAACTTGTCTATAATTCTCGCCTTTCTTACATTTATAGGACTCTGTTGAGCTGTACCTAAATGGACAAGGTTGAACTGAGTCGTTACATTTAGCATAAGGATTATCCTGAATAACTGCTCCATGCATGTTGAATTCTGCACAGTTTTGACCTAAAATATATTTATAATTTTATGCTTGTTCAGTGATTTTATTTGTATAAGAATTAGACACATTTGAACATTGACTTAAAATCGTATATAATAATTTGAAAAATAGCTAAAAATACGCGGGAAAAAGGATCTTTTTTTCAAAATATTCTTTCATTTAATATAAAAAGGATCTTTTTTTCAAAATATTCTTTCATTTAATATATTAAGTTCAGTTTCATTTTTATTTTTTGACATTTTGTGTTCTGGCAGGTTAAATTATTAGATTATATTAAAAAAAACCATCTTCCTCATTTACTACAATTTTATTTCATTACATTTTCAAATCTTAATCTATTTGAATATACTAAAAAAACTTACCTAATATGATAGCTTCCGGTGCACATACCTCCAATGTATCATTAATGAATTCATTAATCAGACAGTGGTATAAAAATTCCTCTGATTTCACACAGGACTGTGGCATATTTGAACAACTTTTTCTTGCTGCCCGATATTTCCATTCTTCTTGACTTCCTGGGCAAGATTTAACGAACACAACTGTTCTCAGTGACTCTTGGCATGGTTGTGACAAGGAAGAAATCTAAATAAATTAATCTTTTAATGATCTTTTTTAGATTATCTCAGTGAAAAATCAATATATCTTTTACCTGATTGTGATTGCAAAATTGCAAAAATACTGAAATAAGTTTCCTTAGCTCAACTTCAAATGAGCTTCTACATCTGCTAATACAAGAGAGAGATACAAATTCTCTCCATATTAACTAGCAAATAATTTTGTAGTTTTTTATGTTTGTATTATTACATGTCAATATATTTTTCTACTCTAAACTTCTATCTATATAAGGTAGCAGTGTTTTATTATATTTGAAAATTGTTTAAAAACGCTTTACCTTCACAGCAATTACACAAATCATCAGCGGTACAAACATATCCGTTCCTCTGTTCATTTTTACGTATGACTAATTTTACCTGTTAATGATAAAAAGGATATTCAAATTTTTATAATTTCATAAGGAATTTTACTGGATAGTCTTCCATAGCAAAAAAAAAAAAAAAATAAATAAATGAATTTCAAACTGGAATTTCAATCCAATGTTTTCTCGGACGTTCGTGTCGAATTGCACCCGCCAATTTCATTGTCTATCATTAAATCTTTTAACTGTAAGAGATTGAAATGACGTAAGTTGCATATTTCCAATTTTGTCAGTTAATGTTTCGCGGTCTTAGAAGCCCTACTCTACCCTCAAAGTTTTATGATTTAAGCAAACTTGAATCTAGAATCTAAGTACCTACTAAGGTTGCTTCCACATAATGTGATTAATCATGACTTTCCTCTTCTTGAGCAGATAATTTTAAATTGTTTTCTCTATTTTTACCCATATTAAAATATGATCCCTCATAGTAGCCCCACTCTACCTTCAGGAGTTATGATTTGAACAGACTTACACTACCTGACGATGCTACCATATGAATATGACTGATCATGGCATTGCTGTTCTTTAGAAGAAGATTTTAAAAGTACCAGTTTTTTTTCTTTTTTATACCCATGTAGAATTTTGATCGCTCACAGTGGCCCCACCCTAACTCCGGTGATGGAAGGGGGGTTATGTTTTTATCATATATGAATCCACACTACCGATGGATGCTTCCATATAGATATGACTGATCCTGACTGTCCTGTTCTTGAGATTTTTTTATTTCTAAATTCACCTATGTAAAGGTGTGATCGCCCAAAGTGACAACACCATAGAGGTCATGATTTGATTATCCTTGAATTTTCACTATGTCAAGGAGCTTCACAAAAGTTTCATCTTTTCTGACTCAGTGGTTCTTTGGAAGATTTTAAATGACCCTAGAAAAATTTTAATATAGCTAATTTATCTCCCCTTGGAAGAGAATATGTCCTTTCATTTGAAAAAAAAAAAATAGAATCCCCTTTACCAAGGGATTCTCTGATTTGGCTTGGTTGTAGCTGCAGAAGTGTAGCGTTATGATTAGTCCAAGACTAATATATAAAACCATAACGATACAGTTCTGCAGATACCTTTGAGCTTTGTTGAAATTGACCCATTGGTCCGGAGAAAATGAAATTAAAAAAAAAAATACGACGACAACGACTACGATGACAACAATAACGACTGATAACGGACAAATTGAGTCTTCGGCCTAGGAGAGCTAAAAAACGGAATTTGCAATCGCTCAACAATTTGTTATCCTCTCATTTTGTTTCTTTACATATATCATACTTTCACAAGTAACTTTATTTGTACGAAATATGTTGAGATAACGAACAGTATTCGAACTCAAAAGTCAATTAAAACTTACAAAATAGGAGCAGAGAAAACACGGACCTCTAAGACACCAGAGGTGGGATCAGGTGCCATGGAGGAGTGAGCATCCCCTGCCGAACCGGTCACACCCGTCGTGTGCTCCTTGTCATGATCGGGAAATAACGGAAAAATCCGTCGACAATTCAGTGTGTAAATAATGGCCTATACTACAAAAACATTTTCGGATCGGGTGGGCATTAGATGGTTTGATGGCGATCGTTTATATATATATTTGTTGCAATAGCATTTAAAATATTAGAGTCAAATGTTTTTGATTTATGTTCTAGACAGGCAAAGAGGAAGTTATAATACTTAATCAATGCCTGGTGCTTACATTAATATTTTTCTTCGTTGTAAGGTTCAATGCTGAGAATGAATAGCATGGTATCTATTCAAGTTTGATTGTAGACGATGTTTTGTAGCTGCACTATGTCAAATATGAAATTTTTTTGTCTTCTTAAAAATGATACTTGGACAATTAAATACTTCTTCTAACAAGTATATGCGGTATCCAATTCAAACGTGCATGATGACCTTAATTGGAAAGTCTGCAGTTTACTTTCGTTTTAGAACAATTATATTATATGAGAAAAATTTATCCAGAATTTCAACGATCTGCCTCTAAGTACACAAACAATATGTATGAATGACTTCCTTATTATTATATTCATAATTACCCAAATCCATGTAAAACCTTTCCTTCGAACGGCTCAATATCTTAAACAAAATAGAATCAACAATATGGCCGATTGTTGAGATAAAATAGCGTCTAGATATTTTTAAAAAGCTCTTTTTTCGATAGTGTCTTTTAAAGTGCTGTAAGTGGCCCCAGGTGAACATTATGTTATGTTTTGTGTTTATATAGCATAAAGAGTATAAAATGTAGAGATTAAAAAGATATTTTCTCTCTTGTATTTTCGGGGGGGGGGGGGATTGAAGAAATAAGAAAAACAGCTACATGTATCATGCTACAAAATTTGCTAAAATAATACAAACTGTACATAGCAGAGCACAAACCGAATTATGAAAACATTAATATCGGGATAAGGTGCCAAAAAGAAGTATTGAATAATAGGTTTAAATAAATAAAACATTTTTAGAGCGCCTTATATAATAAAAAATTATCCTCAGGGGCTAAAAAATTTGCTTATTTTAAAATAAATGTACAATATATTAATTAAAGCTTTAAGAAAAGAAAAAAGGTAATGAATATGCATGAAAATGCAGAGAGATACAAGGAAAATAAAGTAGAATAAAAAATTAAATCAAATAATTATATTACAGAATAATGCTCTAGTATTAATAACATTAAAAAAATACAAATGAATTAGCATCATGAATTGATAGAAAAAAACAGTAGTTGGGAAATTGAAAAATATGAAAATTATAGAGGTTTAAAATTCATGAAATACAATCTTAAAAATTGTGTTTAAGCAGTTTTATAAGAAAATCAACATTTTGCACAGCTTTCAATGTGTCGGGTGTTCATTCTACAAAATGACAGTAGCCCAACTATAAGTACGTTCTCCAAGATTCTTAGTGCGAACTTTTGCTTGAACAAGTCTAATTGATGTTTCCGATCTTAATGATCTGGCTGATTTATAAACTTCAATAAGTTCTTAGAGATATATAGATATATTCCTTAGATCACAAAATAACATAACAGTTTTCAGAGGGAAGCTTCCCGGAAAGATTCCTATGCTAAAATAATGCATTTTTTGTGTTAACATTGTACAAATGCTGTTTAAGTCATTTATTGTAGGTTAATTAAGCATTTAATTCTTATTTTTGGATGTCGTCTGTCCTATAGCAGCACATGGTCGTGCTGTCAAATTGAATATCTCGCGTTAGTGTGTATGATGATTTGTCGGCGTGGACATGCGCTGTTATAGGACCAATGACATCCAAAAATAAGAATTCAATGCTTACGAGGGCTGATCCAAAAGTTCGTGGAATTTCTTTCTTAAATTTGATTGTGACGTGTTAAAAGCAAACAAAAGAATAAAACAGAGCCATTATGCTACAATACTGGAAAATTTCACCACATTCCAATTACCATTAAGGTCACATGTACACGAGCTTTTTTAACATGAAAAGCTGTAAAATCCGGGGTAGACTTTGACGTAACGTTAAATTAGGTTTGTCAAGTCACGTTCTAGGAGCATCTCACCCTCAGTTCAAAATCGACTTAGAAATTCTACGGAACACTGCATTCTTTTCTCCAATTTTGCCTTTCAGGAAAGCCTTGGTACCAATCTCGCACAGGAAAGCCTTGGTACCAATCTCGCACCCACTTTTTTTCTTCAAAATACGCTCCGTCGTTCCACATGATGTTCAGATTTCAGTAACAATGTCAAGCACAGTGCTTAATAGACGTAAGAACCGTTTGTGACGTGGAAAAATTAATAACGCAAAGAAACATTGCTTGGGGAAAAATTGACAAGTTAATTTTAAATTCAAAGTTGTTGTGTTTTTACGATAATTTAACAGGGTAGTTGTTTTTAATTAAATTGAGTCAAAACAATATACAGTTTGGCGTTCCTAGAGTATTGAAAATGCATAGAGTTCCTACTGTGTATTCTACCGCGCAGTGACAACATTTCGTGTGTTTTATAGGGAATTGAAAGTTGTAGATTCCCAACTTGATCCAATGGATTTCATTAAGAAAATTCCACTGAATGTAAATATATGAGGGTTTAGCCATTTTCGAAGGTTACCTTAAAATAGCAAAAAAAAGGGGGGGAACAGATTTTAAATTCAATCTAAGTTTTAAAATCAAAGTACTGATGCAGTACTGAAAGACGGGGTCAAATAAGAAACTTCATTATTTTACAAATTTCATTACTGCATGTTGAAAATTTTTTTGTAGGGCTTTCATATATACCAACTTAATTTTTTTTTATTTTATTTAATATTAACAGAGCGAAGTACATTTAAGGTGCCAAATGGAAATATCGGCGAATTTTTTAGACAGAAAATACATTCTTTACAAGGATGGGCGATTCTTTTGGGGCCTTTATTATTATCGAACAAGTGTAATGTGGCTGAAAACTACATCTTGAGGACGTTTATATTTCTTGTTTAGATTTGTCAGGTAATGTGGCAGTCACGTGATTTTAGCAAATATACCTGCAGTATTGAGGTCATCTATAAATTCTAATATTGCAAGGGCATAACCAAGTTAAAAATCTAAGTTTAATTCATAATTATTTTCAACACTCTTTGTAGTTTGTGAAAAGTGCAGCGAACATATATAGATTCTACTATATTATTGCTAAAATTACATTTGCTAGACCGTATGTTGAATAATTTGCTGGTCAATTACATTAAATGTAGATATAATTAATTCATTTGCAAGATTTCATCAGGTTCGCAGCACTTTTCAAATATCTTCATACCTCTTGCGTTTATGTGTAAGAGCTTGTCGTAATTCATTGAGGGTATGCTCTTGCAATATATCGATTTATAACGACCCTTCTATTACCCTTCAATGAATCTACATACAAATGTACGGCAGTTTCACTTGTCTAGGGAATGTACGTGAAGTATATGAATAAAGTCATAAAATAGACATCGCGTCCAAGTTCATGGCCTCTTATATATCTGCAAATGATATT